GTCCAGCAGAAACTCTTGCTGCACTGGCTGGCTAAGGCACGCAATCATGGTTGCCACGGCTTTCCTGCATTGCGACAACACGGGAGTGCAGAATGCGGTCTTCTTGCACTTCTTGGCTGCTTTCTTAGCTTCAGCAACAGTTCCTTTCAAGGCATACGCGGCTGCGAAAACCTTTGCTGCCCCTGCGTTGACGGAGGCTGCGCCTGCTGGCGATGACGTCTGAAGCCCTTTTGGCTTGGGTCCCTTATAGAGATTGTTGGAATCATGCAGATAGAAGCACTTATCACCTTTGGTGCAAGCATTATACCCAAAGTACATGCAAGGCTGCTTCTTCTTCTCTTCATCCGTTAGCCTAGGAGTGCCCTTAGGAGTTGTGTCCCCCTTCTTACCCTTGCCACCCTTACTCTCGCCCTTGCCTTTCCCCTTTGCGGGTGCTGCATTCGCTTCTTTAGGCTTCGGATCTTTGGAGTCTTTGGGCTTCTGGCTGGATGAAGGTTGCTCCTTTTGGGCTTCCCCCTTCTTCTCTGCCTTCTTCTTGTCGTTCTTGTCTTTCCCTTCCTTTGTCTTGGCTGGCGCTGCTTGGGACTTAGTTGCGGATTGCGTGTACACCTGATCGATCGACACGACATTTTCATCTAGCTGATGAATCTCGATGATTTCCCCGAGCTTCGCGTAAAGCCAAGGCCAAGTTTTTTTACTGCTGTTTGGACTGGCGTTCCTGAAACGGTCGATCACCAAAGCCATTTTTGGATGTCCTTTCAATTGCTCGAAAAAGGTGCCCCTAATAGCTTGGTCACTCGGTCTCTCGGAAACTTCCAAGGCCTGGTACACGAAGTCGAATCTCTGACGGAAATCTTCGAGTGCCTTCCGCTCATCTTGAGGCCTAAGAGATGGGTTTGAGTCAAGGCAATTCCCCTATCCTTCTCCATCTTAAACCTCTCAAAGATGACCCACAACAACTTCCGCCCCTTTGGCTGCTTGAAGACCCGTTGCTCCTGCTCCTGAATGGATTGGAAAAGCATGGCAAACTTGGTGTTCTTCGACAGCTCAAGCAGCTTTGAACCCAACACTCGATCAAGAATTGGAAACGGAAGGCTCGACTCGAGATCGGCTTTGGGATTAGTGCTTTCGGCGATCCAGCTATGGACTAAGGATTCGTCACCCTTTGCAAGCCTACGCACAAGGTTGAAAACCGAGTTCCTGAATAGGCGAGCGTCTGCCGCCGTTTTGGGCAGCTGAAGCAACTTCATCTCATCATATGCCTTCACACGCATGAGTTTCTTTCCCTTGAGTAGGCATCGATTGCCCCGTCAATTTGGGCCATTCCCCGATTTCCTTGAGAGGGAATTGAGGGGCCCTGAGGAGGTCTTTGCGAGCCTCCTGGCGAACCTCCTGGTCTCCCGCCGCCTCCACCCTTGTTGGATTCGCTTGATGAGCTATCCGAGTGATCTGGCGACCCAGGATTAGAACCATGCTGTGAACCATTTTGCGATCCACCCCCCGACTGCCCTCCCACAGATCCTATGTTGAAAATCTGAAGGGACCTGCCCTGTTCCTGCCTGATGAATTTGCGGCACAGGTTGAGCGGCGGCAGTCTGGGATGCAAATAGCTCAAAGGCTGATGTGAGTTGATCCAAACGCCTTTCTAATGCACTTAATCCCGGATTCGGTGCAACTGGAGAAGAATCCCCCAAAAATGTTTCTCACAGCACCTGATAAGTCCCATGATGAAGCATTGTGTGCACTGATTCCGGTGCCCTGAGGCATCACGGGGCTTGCCTGATGTGAACCATTTCCATGCGCTATCGGTTGGGGTTTTCCGGTGCCCTGCGGCATCACGGACCGGTCCTGCACTGGCTGGCTGGTGCCCGAAGGCATCACAGCAGGATGCCCACTCGCCTGCAGCGGCTGATTATCCGCGCCATTATGGATGCATGCCAATTCCCTTTTTAAGGATTGATTTTCGGCTTCAAGAGAATTCAACCTTTGCTCCATTGCTAGCAATCGGTCTGCCAACTGTTGCGCCCTCTGCGTTGCTTCGGCCTCCCTAAGTTGGTGTTCCCTAATCTGGTCACTTGTGCCATGCTGGGTCCTCGTCAAGGCATCTTGGAGTGCCTGAACCTGTGCGTTGGCTTGTGATTCCAAATAAAGGACTCGCTCCTGGGCTTGTCTCAATTGGTCCCCCGATTCATGCTTGGTCCTTTCAAGTGATTCCTGAAGGGCATGAACTTGATTGAAGGATTGGCTTTCCAATTGATTTACCCTATCCCTAGCCTCGGCCATTAAGCATTGAGCTTGGGCTTCAGTGACAACCAACCTCCTATCATTCTCTCTCAAATGCGCTTCAGCTCTTTCGACCAGTTGTTGATCCAATGATTGAACAACCATGGTCGGCTGGTACACTTGGGTGTGATGAGCTTGAGCGTGCATTTCAACATTTGGTGAGAAATGATGATGCTGATGCAACTGAGCACTTTGCATGTTGATCCTACTACCCATCGGTTGGGATGATGCCGTGGACATGCTAGTGTCTTCATTACTATTACTGGAGTCTGCGACCTGCGGGGGTGAAAACATCTGTACAGATCCCTGAGCAGCTGGAACTATTTCTGACGGCTCCATTGCTTCTTGAAATTGGTCGGACAGGAAAAGCTACTGACGCAATGCCTGCTTGCACCTTGCGGCACTCCGGCCAATGGGCCACACAATCCTCAAGAAATCCGACTGGCCTGAACAAATTGTTGACCGGTGGCTTTCTGCGAAGCTTGATGTGAATGCCCGAGATCTTGTCCTTTACCTGGCGATCGATGATACTGTTGATGACCTCGTCACTGTCGTCAACGATGAATGCCGAGCGGAATCCAACTGACAGCAGATCCTGAAGGACTAGCACCTTCCCACCTTTCTGGGTCCTGGGGTTGAAACTGGCCCTTTCAGAAGTTGTAATGATGAAGTCAAAAACTGATGAGCTATCCGGAGTGCGATTGAACGCAGCAACCAATGCGTCTCGGCGTTCTTGGCTATGGAGGTAGGATAGGCAGATTGTCACAACGTGGATACCTTCGCGAAAGAAAGCGGCTTTCAGCTGTCTAATCGCTTCGAGGTTGTCGTGGCAAATACCTTCGTAATCCCACTCTGTGCGTCCGCAACGGGCTCTGTCAAGAACCTGGTGATAGTCGATTGCAACCACGCAACTGTCCCGAAAGTCAATGCCGTAGCGCGGCTCGTAGACAGAGGACAATCCTTGATCTTCCCAATTGCTGTTTACACACTTGAATACTCCTGTGGCAAGAGTCAAATCACAAATCACCGCAGCGAAGTGATGCCCGGAAGGCTCAGCGCGCCTCGGCGTACGTGAAGTGCTCCCTGGCCTCGACGCAGCTTTGCTGGTCGCCTGGAGCAATCTGTGCTGCACAGGCTCCGCAGATGACGATGCAGGCTCTTCGGCTCGGAGCGACTCGCGCTGCACAAGCCTAAGAGGAGCAGATCGATCCGCTGCCTTCACAACCCGAAAAGACACCCGATGATTCTGGGGCTCCTCAGTCTCGTTCCAAAAGGCCTGTTCGTAGAGCTGTAGCTGTTCCCAGTTGACTTTTGCACGTGCAAGCCTGTCCCAGGTGCTATCCAGCACAAATGGAGGTTCGTTTGATAAAACCCCCTCGGCCAATCCGTCACGTAGTACACCAAGTTTCTGTGACTTGCCTCTTCGTCCGGCTCGATGCCAACCGAAGAGGTTCCACAGTTCCGGTGCCACTCCCGGATGCTCGACGCCCTCACCCGCCGTAGCTATCGGTCGCAGCTCAAAAGCTACGGCTGATAACCAGACGAAATACGAATCAAGACAAATGAAGTGAAGAGTGTAACCAAAAGTGCAATGGCGGCACAGAAAGCTTCACTCGCGCGACCCTCCTTTTATCTTGAGCCAAAAGTACAAGTCATCCAAGGCGAACTGAATGTTTGTTATCAGTGTCAACCCTGGAAACCTGATTCAAAGGGAAGTTCAAGCAAACATGAATTCCGGGGGCAAGGTTGAATTAGACATGCATGCACCACCTACCATCAGGAAAATGTGGATTCCAGCAGGGGGCATTCTTCTACTTTCAGGCACAAGCAGCGACTCAGCTGCCCAAACACCCCAGCCATGACTAAAAACGGGCCACAGAAGGGGAAAATTCAAAGAAACAACCCAGAAATAACAGGTTAACCTGTTGGGGCCATGAAAAAAAAAAAACGGACCACAAAAGGGAAACTTTAAAGGTCAACAGGTCGATTCGCTTTGGGCAAGAGAGGTGCGCAAGGCGACGGCCAAAGAAAACTAGCAAGCAGCATGTGGAAACGCGGCAAGAGCAACTGACTCACGAGCAAACCGCAAGACGGGAACCTGCTGAGCCAGGGCTGCGAAGCACTTAAGGTTAACCCCGGATCAATAAAGCCCTGGTTGAGTCATAGTGGGGTGTCCCCTTTTATGGAGGAGACATCCCCCTGATGGGACGGGTTCTACTTAGATCCTGGGTCAAGGTGAATCTGTCGCGTCAGCTGTGTGGTACCTGTACCACCCGTGGAGTCCCGAAGCCCAACCATCAACGCCATCAACGCCAACTCCTTGGGGCATCCAGTGGTTGTCCAGTGGAAAATCCGAAACGGACTGACATCAAAAACAAGAAGCCGTCCCAGAGATTGGTTGATTGGGTTCACCCCGGTGTGTTGATGTTCTCTTACCCCCCCCCCCCCGCCCCCAGAAAAAGAAAAAAAAAGAAGGAAAGAAAGGAAAACAACAACAGGAGGTGCGGCAGTTTCCCACTCCACACTCCCCGAATTTCCGTCACATAAGCCAAACTCACTCCTGATCAAGCGGATTGGCCCCAAAAACGTCGAAACTGGTCAGAAGTGTCCAGAAACTCTTTAAGGTCTTGGGACCTACGGGGGCGGAGGGGGTATCCAACGCATAAGCTACATGCCTCCGCTCCCTAGCGCCCAGCCGGCAAAAAACAAATTTCCGCCTCGAGGCTGATGCAGCACAGCAGCTCCACGTCCGCACTGAGCGTGTTCTGCCAGCCCCTGCCAGGTTTCGCCCCCATTTGCTTTTTCGCCCCCTGGAAAACATAAAACTGTTTTCCAGTGGTGATGATTCCTTTTTAAACCAGCGGGGGGAAATAACAAAATATGTTAGACAAATGGAAGGTCTCCTTTTTTTGAAAGAACGCCCACAAATGGCGCATCGGTTTTCCTCGTGGTTTCCAGCAAATTCAACCAAAACCGGGGATACAGACCCATATCCAAACCCATCAAGGTGGTTTTCAGACTGGCACCAACTGATCCTGTTTGGACCCTTCTGAATTCAAATGGTTTCTGGACGCCACCCGTGGATTCGAGGATGCTTCAAGATCGGCACGGGCGGAACAGTTGAAAAAACACGAAAGGATAAGAATCCTGGGATGTTCATGTCTACTAATCACTTGGGCGGTGTACCCTTTGTAGAGTAAAGGCTACTCATGCTTACTGGCCATGCATGTTAACCACTTGCATGGTCTTCCAAGATCCCTGGCCACCATGCTTGTGGCAGCTTGGCATGGAGGTGCGTGGCCAAAAGGCCAACAGGTCAGTCTTGGGCAATTGAGAAGAGCTCAGATCCGGTCGATTCGCTTGGGGCAAGTAAAGCAGGTAAGTAGCCAAACTTGTCTAGGTCCTCCAGTAGAGAGGTTGGAATAAGAGTACCCGTTTTTCTGTAGTCTATTTTAGTAGGGGAACCCTCCCCCAAAAAAGGGTAAAAGGGAACTACTACGGGACCTAGGTTTTAGAGCAACACTGGTTCCCGCTACTTGAATGTTCAAGCAACTGGGTCGGATATAACCATGGCTACAACTGGTGTAACTCTGCGGTCACTCCCCTTACCACGATTAACACCTACTTGCCCGACGTTGGTTGAATCTTTCAACTCAGAGTTTCCTGGCAAAACTTGTTGGGCAACAAACATGGAGAACCCTCTTGGATTGCAGCAACCGCATAACAGAAACGCCAACATTGTAGCCCGTGCAGTAAACTTCCCACCCAACCACCAAACTACCTGCCAACGCAGGTGGATAGCAAAAACAAACCTGGCTGTCCAAACCCCCACTAAACCCAACAAAAACAAAAACCCTAGGGGATGACTGGGAACCACAAAAAACAGAAAGCCAAATGGAAGATTATGGGGCGACAACAGGCCTAGAAAACTTTGAACATCATTTCGCATCTGCGTCCCTATCTCCCCCACTGACCTTCTCTACCCGGGCTTTGATCGTGGCCTCATTATTTTGCCATGATCAAAGTCACCCCCCAAGTGGTGGGATAAAGGGAAGCAACCCCATGTTCTGACTTTGATAACCCCCAAAAACCGTCAAAATACGGGTATGGGTCAAAATTAAACCATCAGGGGACCGCAGGTTTTGGTCTTTGTTTCTATTTACCAGGGTTCAATTCTGATTCTGGGTACCTCTTCTTGGTTGCTGTTGACCCCCCTGCAAAAAGTTTAACTTTTTGGGGGCTTGGTGGAAAACCCCTTGCTTTCCCAAAAAGTTAAAGTCTAACGAACCAACCCAATAGCAGTCAAGTATTTTTGACCCACACTGATACTGAAACCAGTTTGATCGCTCAGGCGATCGATCGCGGGTCTCTCCCGCTCCCAGCGCCTCAGTTGCTCCTCTGAGCGTGGGTACCCGTCCACCACGAAGCGCGCGGCGGGCCCGTCTTGCCAGGCGCCTTGCGGGTCAGGGGGCGGCCGTCCAAAACCGGCGGCCGGTTTCGGGGGGAGATTGGGGGATGGGGGGGAGGGGTCGCAGTCCAGGTTGGGTCCTTGGGTGAGTGGAGCATCTCCCCTTGCGGTCTGCAGGGTTTCTTAAAGGATACTATCCAACCTTCCTTGGCACTTGGATGTTCAACCAACTTAGCAAATAGGTTGTAGTGGCTATAGGGGGATTATGACTTATATTTACTAAGTTGGTTGAACATCCAACCAAGGGACACAAATTGGTGGCCTGCGTGTTGCTTCCAAAAAGGATGTTGCAACCCAAGTACCCGCAGGACGCTAAACCGGTTTTCCGGGTCCTTTTCAAAGTGCGCGTTGACTCTCCTAGCTACACCGTGTATTGTTGTGTAGCACGTCTTACGGCTTGACTTGCACATTGCTTCTTTTCAAGTTGGCTTTGGGGTTCCCCGCGTTTCTTTGACTACAGGCTTCGTGCGAGAGGCTCAATGCGCTGAGCTGGGAAGAGGCACAGCTTTCCGGCTTGCATTGCCGCAGCCTATGGCCGTCATCGTATCGTTGATATCAACATTATCACCTCTGTTTCTACTAGCACCACTTCTGAACTCAGTTAATCTCATTGGCAGTATCATCGTCATAAGCATGAGTATCATTGTCATTGCTGTTGTTATTGTTATCATAGTCCCATGTACCATCATCAACGCTACCATCACTACGATTCGTCAAGACTGCCACCGTTCGTACTACCATTGTTGATGGCATACGTGTCAGGGGTAGTGTTTGTGTTGCTATTGGTATTTGTTGTGCTCAGTACTACTAAGTAAGCTCATTTGAAAAGGCGACACTTGACCAAAAGGGGAACACTTGGCCAAGCATAGGCCCAACCCGCAACAACATGTTGCCCCTTAAAAAAGGAACACGAGGGAACACCCCATGACGGACAAAAGGGCAAACCTTGGTGACTCACGGTTTGATTGGATTGGCCAAAGTCTGAAGCGACCTTCCCATGGAATCCAGAAACTGAGGACGTGTTTCTAGGGGTACCCCCCCTCTCTTTCAAGGGATCCGGATCTTTCTAGAAAACCTCTCGAAACCCGGCCAAAGGAAAACAGCAGATTGTCGAAAAGAACGATGGCTGGAAAGAATGGAAAAGGAAATCAACCCGTAGAAAATTAAGATGGGTGTCAATGGGTCTGTTCCTTTTTTTTGCATGCGCTCTCTCTAGCCTGGGCATGCAAAGGAAAATCACCCCATTGAGTGTTCCGCAAAAGCTCGGCCAAGGGAAAACAACCACCTGGCGATGCCCGGCGCGTCCAACCACTTGGTTGCTGGAACGATCCTTCTGCGAGCAGTTTCCCTCGTGGGTCCAATGGACATTTTTCCCAAAGAAAAGTCCCAGATCCAACCAACGAGTCATAAAGTTGTCATAAAGTAGCAATGTCCGCCTGAGTGGATGGGCAAGAAAAAGTCCAAACTTAAGATGTTTATCACTAAAATGGTCTTCCCAAAACGCGGGAACTCAGAGAGTGAGACAGGCAACCCTTGGTTGCGAAGAAACAGTCGCCGCGGTGCAAATCGATGGCCTGCTTCTCTCATGGCCTGCTGCAGGAGTTTGGCGATCACCTGGCCAAAGCTCCGATTCGGATCTCCAAGGCCGGGGCCTGGGTACCGTGCGAAGGTTGCCATTTGATGATTTATGACTCGGGTTTCAGGTGGGTTTAGGGATGGCTGGGGAAGCTTCTCAGCTTAGGGATCCACGTTACCAGGAACCTCACACGGGGCTGCAGGATGACGAGCTTCCCGTAAAAAGGAGCCCCCCGGTGTGCTCCATGGCCACGACAGGCGGGCAACCTGCTTGACGAGTACTTTATGGTTTCCTCAAAAAGGTAGAAAGTCGTGAAAATAGGTGGCCTTTTTGGAAAAGTCGATGGTTTCCCTGGTAAATGGGGCATAAACCACATCTAAACCTGGGCCCTCTATGTTTTAAGCAAACCAACCAAAAAGGAGACCTATGGTCATGAAGCTCGGAAAGTGAGCTGGGCAAGGCTAGCAGAAATGGCAGAATTCTGGCATATGGCCAACAGCCGGCCAAAGTGGTAATGTTGACGCCAAATTCGTCCACCCGTTTATTGAATAGGAGGGTGGCCCCCCCCAAACGTGATGATTCCCCGCTCTTTAATCTAGGGGCTGATTCCCCATTCTTTTCAAGCATCCTTCTGTTCGAAAACCGGATCTGTCTCCCATGGTTTGTGGAAGTCTAGAAAGATCCGGATCCCTGGGAAGAATGGAAATGGAAGCTCCCCTTAGAACTAAACCCAGAGACACCCCCCCCCACTTCCATTTGCTTAAGCCCCCAGACTTTGTTTATTTTAACTATTTGCCGTAGGGATCGATTCCTTTTAAAACCCAAAGGGGAACATAAAACAAAATATATTCTTTAACAAATGGAAGACCCAAAGACACCCCCCCTATGAACCCACTGGCTTCTCCCCACGTCACCGGGCTCGGCTTCTGCTTCCCGCCTCGCCTCGCTGGGCACGGGCTTGGCGTTGGTCATCGCCGCCTGGGGAGTTTTTACCCGCGGCGCCGGGGGAGAATTTGACGGCGGCCGTGGGCTTTACCAAAGAAAAAACTGCCCCGCTTTCTGAACCCCTGCTAAACTGGATCCTGTAGAGAGGCTAGAACAAGTTGGTACCAACTTTTTTTGTTTTAGTCTATTTTAGTAGGGGAACCCTCCCAACCAAAAAAGGGTTTTAGTGGGTGAAATTCGGGGAAATCCCAGCACAAAGCCACTACAAGGGGTGTCTCAAAGGCGAAATGTAGAGGTCCATACATTCGCCCATGGCGTTTTCAATAGGAAAACCAGTGACCCCGACCTCCCGTTTTTTTTGTGTGTGTTTTGTTTTTTTAAACGAGCGGGCAACAGAGCAAGGCAGTCAGGTACCCCCAGGGTTTCCGGGCCATTTCGCTTTTGGAGCCTCCAAAATTGGCAGTGTCAACGAAAACCAACACTCCATTGCAAGTTTTGAAGGGGAAATCCCCGTCTTGGATGTTCCACCAACGCCAGGTAAGGAGGTCATAGGCATGGCTTTATTTGGGGCGTGCTTTTAACCAGTGTTTTGAGTCAGCTGTCCAAAAAAAGGGGCTATCGTTTTGGAGGGTACCCCATTGTTATGCGGTGTTAAACTGAAAACCACAAGGACAACCGCCCAGAATGTGGGCTCCCTCCCAAACAAAAGGAGTGACCCACCCAAACAGAGTCCTGTAGACTTTGGAGGTAAGTTTGAAACATCACAGATCACTCGCATTTCGGGGAAATCCCAGCACAAAGCCACTACAAGGGGTGTCTCAAAGGCGAAATGTAGAGGTCCATACATTCGCCCATGGCGTTTTCAATAGGAAAACCAGTGACCCCGACCTCCCGTTTTTTTTGTGTGTGTTTTGTTTTTTTAAACGAGCGGGCAACAGAGCAAGGCAGTCAGGTACCCCCAGGGTTTCCGGGCCATTTCGCTTTTGGAGCCTCCAAAATTGGCAGTGTCAACGAAAACCAACACTCCATTGCAAGTTTTGAAGGGGAAATCCCCGTCTTGGATGTTCCACCAACGCCAGGTAAGGAGGTCATAGGCATGGCTTTATTTGGGGCGTGCTTTTAACCAGTGTTTTGAGTCAGCTGTCCAAAAAAAGGGGCTATCGTTTTGGAGGGTACCCCATTGTTATGCGGTGTTAAACTGAAAACCACAAGGACAACCGCCCAGAATGTGGGCTCCCTCCCAAACAAAAGGAGTGACCCACCCAAACAGAGTCCTGTAAATCCATGTAAAACATGTTCACCAAACGGTTGGTGACATAAATCCATGTAAAACATGTTCACCAAACGGTCCGCTTGAGCTTAACACTTTTGCTAGGTGTCTGCATCATTCTAGCCAAGCCAGAAAAGTTGAACTTTTGCTTGTCGGGGTCGCTTTTGTGCCTCACCGCGAGATGGGACGTTTCTGCGGGACGGTTGACAACAATCAACCAAGATTGAAAAGCAAGGGCTCCACCTGGTTCCGACACAATCCGACACATACCCATGCACTCACATCCTCATAAAGGAACAAGGCAAAAAGCCTGAACAAGAGATCCTTGATCGGAAGAACGTTCTGCCAAATGAGTGTGTCAGAGTAGGGGGTCCCCCATAATGGCCGGTGCTTTTCGGTTGCCCTTTAAAGCCACCCAAAAAGGGTACAACATACACACCCCGAAATGGATCACTTTGCAGCCTTCCCTGAGAATTTTTCGTTCACCGGTCGAATCTTGTCTGCAACATCCCCCCCAAACAGCTAACACTGTGCCGGGCTAAGTTGGGTTGTGGTATGTTGTTTTTCTGGTCTTGATGCTCCAATAAGAACGCGGAAATCCGGCTTGATACCACGCCACCACATTCAAATTTGTAGCCACTAGCAGCAAAGCTTACTTGCCATACTTTGGGAATCAATCGAAGCTGCAGCAACCCAACTGCTTGGAATCCTTACACATTTGAAACGGAAACAACCATTCACGGACTTGCAAGCATGCATGGAATGGACATTCCGTGGATTTTCAGGAAGTCCAATCAAGCAGAATCAGCTGCAATACTATAACTTGGGCTTACATGGAGCCAATACCTCTTCAACAAGGGAGCAACGCCGAAACTCCCGGTTGATGTTCAACTGGCAAACTTGCTGTCCACCCTCCGGAAACAGCAATACACCAAGCAACCTTCATGGGTCAGGTGGCAAACCACATCCCTTTGTGAAATCGCAACCTTTCCCTATTGGGTCTGTGTCTTTTGGTATGGACAACTGCAACTGACCTGCTGATTTGACTGGCCAGAACCAGTTCAAACTTTGCCGGGCTTGCCTTGAATGATAAAGAAGCCAACCAACGAGAAGTGCCAAAAGTTTGACCAACGCAGGTGATTAAGATATAAGGGAAAGCCAGTGTGCCCCCCGCTAGTGAAAGACACATGCTCGTTTTCACGTTCCTGGGGTCTAAGAAAAGCAAGCAAAAACCGCGCCTCAATCTCCGCAGCCAGTGGGGAGCCTTCCCGGCTCCTCTCCTGAATGGGCAAAGAAGAAACTCCAACACCCGGGGGGTTGGGCAACATACGACATATGTCAGGTATATCTATATATATATATACCTATATCTATTTGATGTGTTTTTGCTTATTGGTTGCAATATAATCATATATCTATATATATGTATATATATATATATGCAAACATGGTAGGCTCTTTTATCCTGGGCTGTCCTCAGATCTCGCTAATCTGCCAAAAGTGTTATTTGTAGTGGGTTGAATGGAAACTATTGCTACACCAACTACAAACCTGAAAGCCTAAGGGAAAGGCTGGGAACCAAGCATCAGTTGATTTTTAAAGGGGCAACAGCGTAAGCCCAAAAACTCAGGGAGCCAGACTTGGATGGGGGGCATTAAGTCCTCTCGCACTGACCGAACACCTGAGTCACAATCAAAACAGGGTGCTGGAACTTGCCATCTACCATCGAGGGGTTCAAATCCTACCTCTTGGGGCTTTGCAGGCTTCCGGCGCGGGGCTTTGGCTTTGTTCGACGCTCAAATGAAGATTGTCCATTCGAGGTCCAAGGACCTGTTGATTTCCTGATTTCCAGGGTGATGTCAGGGGCACCTGAGCACCATGCGGCACGTGCGTTTGTTTTCTCCTCGGTTTGGTTTTGGCAGGGCGAAGCTCACCCTTTCATGTGCCACGTTCATGCCGGGCCTGGCGGCCGACCACAGGCTGAAAAGGGGCACTCGGCAGCCCCGGGTGCCAGGAGTGGCTTCCCCTGCACTCAGCGGGGCTGGGTGCGCCGCACCCCTGGATCAGCGGCTGGCAGCAATCCTCCTTTGCTTGGGTATGACTGATAAAATTGGGGGATCGCCAAAAAAATGAAACGTAAGGGAGGTCCATCTGCTGCCTGCGTGGCACAAATTGTGGCACAACGCGGCAACTCGAAAAACATAACTTTACAAGAAGCAAGGCGTCAGGAGCGCCAGAGCCCGCCGTGGACCTTCGACCACCATTCGGGCCCGAGGCGACTGTGTTCCACATCCTTCTCCGAAAACCCGCGGCGTGTCACTTCCGCCGTCACACCATGCCAAAAAGCGACGAAGCGGTTGTCGCGATCCAGATCCTGGTACGACCAGGACACAGCACAAAGACCCCAGTCGTTGAGCCTTCCGAGCATCTGTGATAGCTTCTTCGACACGGCAGTGAGCATATCTGCCTGCCCTGTAGCATTGAGCCTGGCAAGCGCGCACAGCAGCTCGGGCAAGTCCAATGCAGCTCCTCTTGTGTGCCACTCTGAGGCTTCGTCCGCCACCCTCCCCGCAACGGCTTCAAGGAAATCGGCATCGTTGTATTTGCTCAGGGCTAGTCCCCAGCAAGTGTTGGCCAGGAAGCGTGGAGGTGCGGAAGGTAGCATTGCACTTGCACGGGCCAGCAAAGTGGGAAGCATCTCACGCAAGCCTTGTATTGCATCTGGATTGCCGGGAGCAACGGAAAGCTGTCCTGCAGCCCAAATTACGTTGCTCACAGCTTGTTCCGTCATGCCTGATGTCACATGTGGGATCCTGTCTGCCAGCATAGGCAGCAAACCAAACAAGTCGTCTGACATGACACCTTTCCTAGAAAGCTCTGCCACAGACCAGATCACATTGGCAACATCTTGTGAATTCATGACTGAGACCACAGCTCGGACTCTGGCCGCCAGGGCTGGTAGCAAACCCAACAAAGCTTCCAGGTCAGCATTTGTGGAGGAATGTGTCGCCACTGCCCAGATTACGTTGGAAACTGCCTGAGCGTTCATGTCCTGGGTAATTTGCTTTGCTGCGCGGACCAATGATTCAAGAAACTTTGGCAAATCCGGCGTGTGGTTCTGAAGCTTTGCTGTTGCCCAAAAGATGTTGGCTACCTCACGTGCCTGTCCGGTTGGCTTCTCCAGCAAAGACTGCGTCTGCCCCACAAATGCCGACGAGTATGAATGCGTGGCAACGTCAGCCATCTTGCTGCGCTGACGCTTGGCAAGCTTGATCCAGGCTGCCGAGACACTAATAAGGTTTATCTCCGGATTCTCGTGCTCAGCCCGCATGATGCCCAACACATCTGACACCGAGCCAGCCTGCTTGACACGGCTTGTACTGACGCGCGGGTCGGTAAATTCCAGCCCATCTCTGCTCTCACCTAGGCTGCTTTTCCCTTGAGCATGAGGTCTAGCCTTGTGTTATTTTTGTAGGTTTAATATTGTTTTATGGAACACCAAGTTGTTTCCAAAAGGCCTACCGGGCGATTTGCTCAAACCAAAAACCAGCCAAGTGACGTGGCCGAGGGCTGGGCTGGCGCCTTTCACGCACCCGCGCTGCGAGTGTTCGACGTGGCCGGCGGCCGGTCAGGTCAGAGGTCACAAACGTCACAATTGCCCACTGGCACACGCAGATCAGCCAGGCCAGCAGTGCCACGCAGCGGACCCATCGCATATGAGTCCTGGCAATTTTACACTGTTGCTTCTAAAACACGAGCCGCCTAAGGAGTACTGCTTGATCAGCACTGGCGCTGCAATTGATTCGACTGCTGCAGCAAGCAGTTGCCTGATTCATTGGTTGGTCGAGACGGACCACTGATTGGGATGTGGTCATAAAGGTCGCTAGACCTCTTGAAAGTTCAAAGGACTAGCCACTTGTTTGCCAAAAGCCCTAATGGGGTCTATTGGGGTCACACCAAAGCCGAAGCCAAGTATCTTACAAGACTAGCCGAAGCCAACTTCCCTCTGATTGGGGGTTTGAATTGGTTCGGAGGTAACTGGGATGTTCAACCCACTTAATAAGTTCCACTATCGTTATAAGTCGTTGAATGCTACCCAGGTCACAACCATGGTTGCAGCCTGACTAGGTCTTCCAGTAGAGAGGCTAGAGTAAGGGTACCCTCTTTCTTCTGTAGTCTAATTTAGTAGGGGAATCCTCCCAACCAAAAAAAGCAAACAAATTGCAGTACTGGGGGACCTAGCTGACTAAGTCGCTTGAACCTCCAAGTCTCCATGGCCGACCCGCGCGCCCAAGCCGCGCCAAACGCAACGCGCGCCCAAGCAATGCGCCTGTCGCAGCAGTTCCCCGGCGCTGAGGTGGGTGAAGCCCAGCTCTTTGGCCGCCAGCTCCTAACATTCGCCGAGACTCGGCTGAGCGGCTCCCGAGCCTCTGGTCCGGTCCGGCCCCATACAAATAGATGTGGGGTGTCGTCTTGTCTGCAAAAGCTACAATTCCAAAACCTGAAAATGCTCTTCAAACCTCCTCAATTTACTCATCTTCCTGCAATTGTTGATGTACCAACAGATAAATTAAGGGATCCCCAAGTAAAGGATCTTTACCATGGTGAGCTGGGTTTAATCCAGACGAGCTCGCTATAAAATAGGCAGATACAAATATATTACCTGCCAAAAAGAGCCAGTTACCCCTATGGTAAGCTGGGAAATTTGCACGTAAAGTCTAAAGGTGAATATCCTAGCTGCCAGCTATAGGTGTAATTGGTATCTGTTCAACGTTAAATTCCACATCTTCGTACCGACACTTCTTAATCTCCACTAACTAAGCGAAAACTAAAAAAGGAGAGCCCTGAGAGGGAGGCCTTGATCAGTGGTAAGCTCGTCTCACCTCCAAGCAAGCCCTCTGTCCCACAGGCCAGCATGCACACATATAGACATTGCCGCCAATTGCATCTGAGAATCACACTGCGTGCCTGGCACGAATGGGCGTAGTACTTTCAGACGACTTGCTCAAAGTAACCCTGGAAGAACCCCCCCCCCCAGTTTTGGGCGTGCAGAACACACTCAAATCGAGCAAGTTCTTACTCCTTGGGCACCAAGAGCAAAGCCAACTTCTCCATCCGTCCTCTTACTGACTGTTGGCATTGTTCTGCAATGCTTGTGAGTGGGTCATCTGTTTGGCCAATCGTGATTGCGGTCTGTATATAGATACTAGTTACTAGTGGAACAAGGCGAACAGAATCCGCTTCTGATATGCTACCGCACTTGCTTGGATAATGATCTGAAGGATGTACAATTTGAAGTCAACTACCTCACTCAGCTGGCGCCCCGATTTCTACATTGCGGTTCATATCTAGAGGCAATGGCCTTTAAGGAACCACCCCGTACTAAAAGATTACTAAAAAGGACCCAACACGGGGTAGAACAGGAGAAATCCGCAAAAGAGCATCCAAACCGTTTGATACAAGATGGAGTAAATGTCTTCCACGCATCGCTTGAATTAGGTGCTTGTTTAAAGTACCATGGTGTGTTTTTTTGTTTGCCCATCCCTGCTGTTAGTCAAAATCCAGGTCTTTTGGACGTTTGAAAGGCAGATGAAGCCTAGTAAGCGATAATCCCAGCCAGCAATGGGCGCGGCCGCCTTTGAATTTCCTTTCCACTTTAAAACCAGGTCTTGATTCTGACTCACATGTTGCACATATGTGCTATGGCCCTGTGTTTCCTTTCAGTACCAGACCAGCGGGGGCGCCATTTGCGAATACGTACCGTCATACCAAAGTACCCAAATATAGTTTTTGTAGCACCTGACACTTCCCATGTTTCGGCTGACCTGCGCATACGTGCTTCCATTGTCGCACCGCCGGTCCGAAACGCCGGAACATGTTTCGACAGTGCATTGTTTTCAACTTGTTGGTGCTCGAAGCTGCGCCCAGTTGCAACCAGCAGCCACTGATAAATGGACACGGCCCAGAAGGTTTTGAAACTTTTCCGCTCAGGGGTGGGAGGCGACTGGGACAGAGTTGGCTGCGGGCCTCACCAAAAACGGAATCGACCCCAAATCGCTTGGGGCTACAGCCACTGAGGCTTGCAGACAGGCGCTTGCTCTACATCGGCGTGCTTTCCGAAGCCATGCCGGAGCTTGGCGGTTGTTTTTAAAACACGCCGAGGCTCCACTGCGGTTATTTCCCAAAAAGTTAAAGTCTCTAGATTCAACCCAATGGCAGTCAAGGTAAATCGACCCCCGCCTTTGCCGCTGCCCGGGCCGCCGATGACAAAGGCCACCTGAGGCTTCGTGCCGGCCAGCCTGGCTGAAGTGCATGGAATGCCCGGCGCGGCTGACCAAAATACGCCACTCGGCCACGGTTATCTTCCATTTGCTTAAGCCCCCTGGGAAAAATATTTTCCAGCAGTGATCGATTCCATTTAAAACCAACAGGGGAAAATCAACAATTGTCTTAAATAAATGGAAGTTATAAGGGGACTACACACGAGCTTACCTATTCGGTTGGTAACCAACGCCAGGTATCTAGTATCTAAGGATCTTCCTATTGTACCCTGGGACTACACCCTAGGGAGCTTCCCATAAACCCAAATAACCAGGTTTTATCTGGACATCGGCTAGAATAGGGTGATCCCGAGAGGGCGTCAAATCCCAGGGTGTAATAGGACAATTCTTGGTTATAAGGGGACGGTCAGTCACCCAAGTTACACGAGCTACCACCATGCTTGTAGCTTACTTATTCACATATGGTGAGGCCACAAATTCCATCCGGACCGTTCTAGCTTTTTCCCGACCCGCGAAGAGAAACACTGACGGAAAACAGCCGACACAAAACAGCAATCCTTGTCTTGGTTGCTGTTGACCCCCCTGCAAACAGTTTAACTGTTTGGGGATTTAATGAAAAACCCCTTGATTTCCCAAAAAATTAGAGTCTAAAGATCCAACCCCATGGCAGTCAAGTTGTGTAGACGATGTATCGAACGTCTTGTAGGCACTTTCCGGGAAAATCCCATGAGCCGAAGTCAAAGTGAATACTTAAACAGAGTGGAAACAACTTTTGGTGGGTTCAATGAAAAACCCAAAAGATGTCGATCGAAAAGTCAGTCTAAAGACCTGTTGTCCAATCTAATAGCAATCAAGAATGGGCTTAAAGGAATCTTTCTTCTGTCGCAGTGTTTTTTGGCCAGCCTGCTTTCATTGGCGAATCTCGTCACGGCAGTCCTGAAACATGACAGCGGAAAAGGGGTTTTAGAGGTTCCTTCATATGGGTGTGTGGGTGTGTGCGTGCGTCTTTTTGAGGGTACCATGTTGGGATTGGCTTAAAGGCAGACCACAAGGGATACCATTTTGGGTCTCACGTATGCAAAGTGCATTTGCTTGCCATTGGCCCTCTTCATATCCATCTTGCGTGAACCCAACCTGATGGTTGTCACTCTCGAATGTCAACCGACCTGAACACGTTTGACTCTAGAAAGCGCAAAAAGGATCCAAGCACATGACCCGGGGTAGGTCCCATCCCTTGGTAGATTATGGCTGTGCAAGCTGTTTGTACCCACTCGGCTTCTTGGTCCATCTATCCATTCCTCCCTCTCATTTCAAATGCTCCCTTCCATGACGTAGAAATGAGCGGGAGAGCAGAATTGGAGGAAGGAAACTGCAATGTGCAACCTTCACCTCGCGTACACCACTCCTATTGGTGTGAAGTGACAGTTGGCTCTCTGAATCTCTCTCTCCTTCACTTTGCTTTTGTATGCACACTCGTGGCCCTACCGCGCAATTCTATTCTCAAGCGCCAGCCGAGGTACTCGCTGAAATCGAAATGGGCCCAATGCGAAGCCGAAGCAAAGTCGCACCTGCCTTGTCACTTAGCGTGCATTGGCGAGTTTTTGCCTTGCAACAAGTTAACTGCAACGGAGGAACAGTTAAACACTAAGCCTTTGGCAATGTCAACTAGGCAACTAGGGCAAACCTTGAACACAAGAGGCTTCTCCAAATCGTGGACCCTTCTGGTCGGCACAAAAAAGGCAACAATGAACCAACCGTTTGAGGCGCCCGATCCCCGATTTCAAAATCCGATCTCACTTCCCGAAAGTGGATTGGCCAACAAAAAAGAACTCAGGATCTGTTTGTCACCAAAAAAAAGAAGGTTCTTGAAGTGCCAATTGCAGATTCTTGTCTGAATCTATTTTGGTTTACCACCAAAATATACCAAAAAGGTCCTCTTGGCCAACCCGTGCGTCCCAGGCTCCTGGCTCTACGACGCCGCGGGAAGGCCGCGGCCAGGGCCGCCACAGCCGCCGGCGCCGGCGCCAGGGCCTGAGATGGGGAATGGGAGGGAGGGGAGGGGGAGGGCAGCCCAATTTCGCCGAACAAACCCTTTTTGGGCCCCCTCCCCCTCCCCCAGGTGGTTCTCCAAATTGGCTGGACCTCAAGGTGGCAAAAACACTTGAGTCGTGTCTCAAGCCCAGCCAGTTCTGGAGATAAAGTTGTTTCCAAAAGGTCCCGGAGACTCTTGGGGTCGCCAAAGGCCACCCCTGCTTTTCTCTAGAGGGCTGTCGGCGCCTGCGCCGCCAGCGTCGCCTGTGCCGTGCAACTGGCGCGCCAGTGGGCGCGAGCGGCACTGGCCGGCGCGCGCACAGTCGGCTGGAGGCCTAGCTGCGGGTGAACAAAGGGGCGCCATGAAGTCGATTTAAAGAACCTCAAGGTTGCTAGGGCAAACT